CACTTAACAACGGTGTCAAGAAAGTAAAATGGGGAAAAATTCACTTGACAGATGTCTCACTTTGCAACATAAGTTTTGGGCTCCGTTGTGCTCATCAGTTGGGGGAATGCCTGTATTTAGAAATTGATAGCTGTGAAAGAATGTCCACTTGCCAAAACGGCCAGGGTGCAAAAACTCAGAATTTCCCTGGCTTCTTTGTTTGCAAGTATAAAAAGGAAAGTAGCCTAGAGAGCCTCTGATTCTAGAGATATCCGTACATTAGTGGGCAGTGACAAGTGGGTGGGAAGGGAGAAAAGATCACACAGATTAACTCTTAACTGGTTTCCTTTCATCTCTGTTTTTTTTTTTAAAGAAAAGCCCAGGGTTCAGCTCTACTTTTTAATTATCTGATGCGACCTCCCCACTCTTCACTCTCTTACCTTGCAGTGCCACCGTTGCCCCATTTACAGAGCTGTGAACATGGACAATTGCGGCCTTTTTCAATACATAAATAAGAAAAAGGGGTTGCTCAAGTTCAAATTACATCTGTCTCCTGCCCTTGGTTTTGGTCCATTTCCTCTCCCTCCGAGAAGCTCCGCTGCCTCCATAATTTTTCACTTTGCTCGGCCAGTGGAACAGACGGCGGCACTTTTTACAGTACAGCAGGAGGGTGTGGAAGGAGGCAAACGTGATGCTTGTCACCCCTTCCCCTTCCCCTGTGGTCTCCCCCAAGCTTTTTCTAAGGCCGCTGCTGCGGCTTTTCATAAGGGGGATAAGTCAGTCAAAGGAGCCAACAAAAGGCAGCCTAAATAAGGGCTTAAAAACTAGGCTGGGTTGGCAAGACAGTTTTCTCTCTTCAACTTACCTCCTACCCTTCTGACAGCTGATTATTTCTGCCTGGCAGGTGTAGATATCCACAATAGAAGAATGCTGTGTTCAAGGCAGAGGGCAAGAATGTTATTCAGTCAACCCAAAAAAGCATAAACCAATTTCAATTAAAGGGTGTAAAGCCCTCCGAGAACCAAACCATAAATCGGGGAAATTGGCTCAGATGGAGGGAGCCTGTGAATGAAACTTTTTTTTTTATTGTTGAGTGCTTTGGAGAGGGAGCGAGGGAGGGGAGGGCCTGATCTGCGATGTGGAACGTTTCCCTCCCTCCCCCTTTTGATGTGCCCTAGAGGTATGCAGCACGTAAGGGACCCCTCTCTCTTCCTGCTGAAAGATTCAGAGGGTGGGGTGGGTAGTGGAATCAAAAGAGGTTGCTATAAAGTTGGGGGGGGGGGCTCTTTTAACAAAATGATTTGAATTATCTGACTCTCTGCCAAGCATCCCTGCACAGGATTCATCTCGTATAACCTAGAACATACCACATAGTTACTTTTTTAAAAAAA